AATATCTTATATTCTTGAAACTAAGATATATGAATTGTAATTTACAAGTTGGCCGTACGTTGGTAATGCGTAAACGCATCGGTAACTTGATGTTATAAAAGTACTGTCATGTATGATTTGATGAGTAAAAGATGCAAGCATATAAGTCAGAGTTTATTCATTCCTTTTGACCTAACATGAAAAGCGATATCTTTGGGCCCCCCCCCCCAGTGATTTGGTGTTGATTTATAAGTTCTAGGCCTATCTAAGACTAAATGGTGTGTTTAAGTAGAAGTCTTATGCCGTCATCACAAATCAAAAATCAGGAAAAAAAATCTTGGACAATGAGATTGATTATAATCCATGTCTCATGTCCGTATGATATCTTGTACAATGGATGGATATTTGATCACTTATCTTAGGACACGTAATTGATTGGGTTAGAGTTCGACAACGAATTTTGGAAGCTACAAGTTGCTGATCAGTTTGGAAGTTATACTCGCAATTATAGTCACAGACTTATCTAAGTGGGAGACTGTTGGATTGGGTGTCTAAGACCATAACTATATTTGGTATAAACTTGAATTGATAGGAGCACAGTCCTTTTGGGTTGCCCTCAATCCTAGTAATTGAATAAGATTACTTTTCTAGAGAGTGATATTGATTTATTAATTTATTATATGATTAATAAATTAATTTGAAAGCAAAATAATTGATTTTTTAAAATATATTGTGATAATATATTATTAATTATAAATAGTGATATTTGACTAATAATTAATCAGAAATTAATTAGAATTAATTTTGGGATTAATGGAATTAATTAAAAGTATAGGGGTTAAAATATAATTGTTCAATAGTTGAGAAAGAGGCATTCCTAAATCTTCATAGAAGCCTTGGATGGTTTTGTAGGGATTTTGGATTCTAGAATTATCATTTGAAGATAATTAGGAAGCTGGATAATTACCAGAAGGAAATAACATTATTTTATTCATTTTAGGGTTATCTAGGGTTTCCTTCTTACACTATATAGTGACCCCCTGCAATCCTAATTTCAGCCATGACCTCTAGAGAATGGTTAAGCCAAAATCTTGCTCTCTTTCCTCCTCTCTCCTCTCTTTCTTCAAGTTCCTTGGTGCTAGGGTTTGAGTGTGAACCATTAGAGGCACAATACCTGTGGTGCTTGCTTCCAAGAATATTTCAAGAAGGTTTTTATTACTGCAATAACAAAAGGTATGCAAAACCATAACTTGTTTGTCATTTTCAAAATTAGCATAGGGTTCATAGGTTTTGTTGTTCATTAGAATGTTACTTCAATAGTGTATGACATAGATCTAATATGTTGCGTGTACCGTTAAGTGTTAATGATTTATCCACGTTATTGCATGTAAAACCCATCACACACACACACACACACACACACACACATATATATATATATATATATATATATATATATATATATATATATATATATATAATACAAAGGGTCCCCCTCTCTCCCCTAAAAAACACATGCATACATAATCTCTGTATTAGCTTTAACACAAAAATTGGTGTCAACCACTTTGTTACCAGGAGTCAAATCCATCTGATCATCATCCTTAACAAACCTAAATAGATCGTTGTCCTCCATCATGTGAAAGCTTTCCATTTAAACTAAAAAAAGCTTTCAACTTTTGAACATAAACCAGCACTTCAAGCAGTTAGGCTTTCGGCACACAAAAACTAATTCCTCTGAAGACTCCCCTCTTTAATGGCACTTTATGTTTCCTCTGGTGCAAATCCTTTATTCGAGATTAGAAATTGAGTAAGATCAAGAATCATATTACCAAGAAATCTATACAAACGAAATTTTGGATGGATTTGGATAAGGCTACAAATGAGGTCGTGCTTCGTGTCTAACCTGATGAAACAATTTATCTCAAGATTAATAATAAGATTCCAGGTAATTGAATGAGATTTGACTAGAATGATATTAATCTACTTTACAACACTAGGCAAAAAATTGAATTGATTTAGTTAATGATAACAAAATTAATGATAATTTGGGATTAGGGTTTCTGATTAACAAGAATTTTGGGGGGTTTTGTAATGGTAAAGGTATCGAAGGAAAAATCAAATATAGCTGCCTGAACTTATGAATTCTTTTGGTCACCCATGCATGGAAGAATTCGAAAAGATCAATAGTTTACCTTCAAATCCTCAAATAATTTGTCAAGAAATCAATAACAAGGTCATCATGAATGCAATAATCATCCACCTTCTTACTTCACCTGCTTTGAGAGATCCAAACATGATATTCATAGACCCAGTTTGACCCTAAAAAATGTGTCGCAATATTGATACCTTATAAAATAATAATAATAATCAAGAATTGAGATAATGAAAGCATCTAAGATGGATTAAAGCCTTTATCGTTTCTTTCAAATTTTTCAACAAACAAAAGCAAGATAAAATTAAAAAATGAAGAGAAAGAGAGACCTTTTGTAGATTAGATAATTATATTTTATTTTTCTTTTGTTTAAATAAGACAAAAGAGAGAGAGAGAGAGAGAGAGAGAGAGAGAGAGAGAGAGAGCTTTTGTAGATTAAAAAAAATTTATTTTTCTTTTGTTTAAATAAGAAGAGAGAGAGAGAGAGAGAGAGAGAGAGAGAGAGAGAGAGAGAGAGAGAGAGAGAGAGAGAGAGAGAGAGAGAGAGACTTTTTGTATATTAAATAATTATATTTTATTTTTCTTTTGTTTAAATAAGACAAAAATTCATAAATGGTCCCTGTGGTGGTAAAATAACGGAAATGCTCAACGGATAAAACTTGACGGAGTAAACAATAATGACTAGGGGTGGAATTAGTATGGTACCGATTTTTTTTTTCTCTAAACCGTGTACCGTACCAATAATAATTGGTATATAAAATTTTCTACCAGAACCATACCAAGTATACTTGGTACCAATATGTTTGGCTACCAACAATTTTAATTGGTACAAATTAGTAATGGTATATACCAAATTTTAATATTTTATTGTAAGATTTAACAAAAATATCGAGTAATTTTGACATTTAGTAAATAAATTAGTTTCATAAACAAATTAGTTTCATAGTTCTTTTAGCTTACAAAAGAATTCTATTGAAAAAAAGTTAAAGTAACATTTTAATTTTGTGTTTTAAAGTGATAACTATTAATTAATGCAATCAAATGACTTATATCATATTCTTAAAACTGCAAAAATTAAAGACACTTGTTAATTGGAATATAGGTACGATTTCGTATGTATGTATGTATATATATATATATATATATATATATATATATATATATATATATATATATATATATATATAATGAATTGGTTGGTACAATATTACCATGGTATTCAAACTTTTGTACCATTACCGTGTCAAGATTGCTTAATTGGTACGGTACTACCGACCAAGGATGTTGGCTACCAAACATATTGACTACCAACTTTTTTGCTTCGGTTGGTAACATGTTGGTTGGTTTTCCATAGTACAATTTTGTCAGCTCTAATAATGACATTTTTTAAAAAGTTTTAAAAACACATGGACCATATAATAAGTTTTTTGAACTTAAGGAGCATATATCATATTTCTAAAAAGATCACTAAGTTTTCCTTTCATTAAAATAAGTTATGAATGTCAAACAAAAATAAATTAAAAGAAAGGAAACGCCACTCCCTTTTTGTTTGCCCGTGTATGACATACTCCACAAACAAATGGTGACAGCTAGAGGTAAGCATTTGGATCGGATCATACTGACTCTTGGACCGAACCGGTTTCAGAGAATCTTGTGGACCGTGGATCGGACTGGATGCGACTTACCAGGTCTAGGTCTAGGTTTTCCGATTTTTGGACTTGTTTGGATCGATACAATTTAAATGCATACGGTACAACTTCTTAAAACACGTTTTTGGGTTTGATACAACTTATTAAAATGAGTATGTTGTTGAATTTGATCCGTTATAACTCCTTAAAATGAATATATCTTTGGTTTGAAATGATAAAACTCGTAAAAATAATATTTTTTTCAGCAGCCAAAATGAAATGTAGCTAGTCCACAAAGTTGAGCCCAACACCTTTCTAATCTTGCGCGTCCGGTATCACACCAGCAAAATCCATCGACAGCCTCCTCCTTAGCTCCTTCTTCTAGCTTCGATAATAATTATACACAGATCACAGATCTCGTTCTTTCCCCTCTCCTGTATCGCTCTTTCTTCACAAACGATCCACACCTCTGTTTTTCTCCCACCGACGATCCTCCTCCGATCTTAGCTCCAGACCACCGCTGCCGGCGTCGGTTGCTACCTCCGTTTCCGATCTGGTAAGTCACCTCCGATCTTCGTTTTTCTTGACATTGCATCTGATAATCTATGCTTCGTTTTTGTTTTTGTTTTTTGCATATGGTTTTTACCCATTTGATACACAGTGGGTTTTGTAAAAGAAAACGATTTGGTTGTTGGGTGATTCTGTTTTGGAACCCCAGTTACACGGTTTTTTTTTTTTTTTTTTTTTTTGGTAATTGATGAACCTGGTGAGTAATCTGAAGTCTGAACCAGTAACCGGTAGTTGCAAAAGAAATCGATTTTGAGCTGATTTTGGTTGTTGGGTTAATCTGGATTGGTGATGTTTTGATTCAGTATCACAATCGTAGAACATGCAAAGATTCAGTATAATGATTGTAATTTTGGCTCACGTTAAAAATCTTAGAACTTGTATTCTACATGCTTATACAGTTAAATGAACCTCTAGCAAATAGCATATGATCAAATCAATCGAATTCAATGTTTGGTGTTAATTTAGTTTAACTGTTGTTGGTTCTTTTTTTTTTTTTGCCTAAAAATAATAACCAGCAATTGCATATAACTTGTAATTACTTTTGGTATGTGGTTAATTTTGAGCTGAATTTGGTTTGATAATGGACGAAAGGCAGCATAATGTTGTTGATTGTGAAAAGAAATTTATATTACAATATATATTTTGTAGTTGGTAACGGCAGATCAGAAATGGGTTCAGAGGCCAAAGTTCTTTCACTTGAAGAGGTTTCAAAGCACGCTACAAAAGAGGATTGTTGGCTTATTATTTCAGGAAAGGTCAGATCTTTTCACAAATTGTCATTTTACTTTTTTGAGAACCTTAGTAACCTGATTTAATGTCTGATCATGCTTGTTTTTTTTTCTTTGTATTGTGACATAATAGGTGTATGACATTACACCTTTTCTTGATGATCATCCTGGAGGTGATGAAGTCCTAGTGTTAGCCACCAGTAAGACACTTGACACCAAATTCCTTTCCTCTTTCTCTCTCTTTCTTGCATAATAAATATATCATAATAACACATTTAATTTTTTTTTTTTTGAAGGGAAAGATGCAACAGAGGAATTTGAAGATGTGGGGCACAGTCAAAATGCAAGAGACATGTTGAAAGATTACTATGTTGGTGATATTGATGTGAACACTTTGCCAAAAAAAGGACAATACTACAAGCCACCTTCAGCTTCTGGTTCAAAACAAGCTTCTGCTGGTGGATCATCCAACAACACTATTGTAATGTTGGTTCTACCTATAATCATCATGCTCTTGGCATATGCTCTTTATTTTTATGCCAACAAAAGATGATGTCATCACCATTGCTTGAAATTGGTGTCAAGTCTTTTGCTATTTTAAAAACTATAGTTGCTCACATTGTAATTGAATGAGGACATGGTTTGTGTTTTTTTGATGAACTGGGTTGTTTTTGGACCTTAATGGCCTTTATATAATGTTATGTAGAAGGGGGACATAAAAGGGTTGCTTTTTGAAGCAATAAAACTCACTCATATATTTGGTACCAGTCCCAAACATTTTCCATGGTTCCAACATTTTAATGGTTAAGAGAATATAAGATTGTTCAACTGTTCATAGACAGTTTCATAGGAGGTTGTTTAGGGATTGTACCAAACAACGTATTGAATGCTGATCGATTTAGATGTGACCTTTGAATGGTTCTATTCAGAAGTTACCAAAACAAGCTCATTTATTCTAATTAAGAGTGGCCGGAAACAGTGGTAGCATTGTCTACAAAAACTATGCCCTTCACAGTTTTGATATTATTTTGTAGGCCATCTTCTTTGAAATGTAAAGCGTTAAATCGTTATGTTTGTTTTGATATTTTTTCATATAAATAAATTTGGTTTGTTGGTAGAATGTTGATGAAGTTGTATTATCTAAATAAATGGTTTTGTTTGCTTTAGTATCTTGAAAGAATTGCACATTTGAAGTGTGTTTGGAAATAAGTGTTTCAAAGTTTTTAGGATTTTTTTTTTTTTTTTTTTTGAAAAAAATTATTTGAAAATATGAACTTAAAGCTTATTTTAGAACAAGAAACTCATAATTTAATAGCTATTTTAAGTAACGTCTAAAGAAAATATTCATACCCATCATAACAAAATTACTATGTTGCCCTTAAAGAAAACTCGTGTTTGATGTTATTTTATATAATTTTATATATTCAAAAAAAAAAAAAAATACATATACTTTTATCATATACTTCTAAACAAATAAAAACTACTATTTCCGACGCAAAGTAAAAGCTACAAATTCTAACGCCAAACTATAGTTCAATTTTTTTTTCAAGCATACACTTAGGGGATGTCTGGTTCACATGTTTCAAAAGAATTTTGAGGATTTGAAATGTAAATTCAACTAAAAATTTGTGGTTATTGTCAAAATCATTGGATAAAGGCAAAGATTTTAGGTTTTAATCTTTATGTATTATTATAAAGATAAAATTTCTGACACCTCTTTATTTTAGTTATAATTCATCAAATCAAAACATATTATCATCTTCCTTACGCCCTAACTATTCATATCCACCCCACCCCACTGCTTCCACATTATCATATAAGCCCATGACCACCCCATCCCACCGCTTCCAACTTACCAGACCATCCACTCCCATATAAGCTACCTCCCAATCTTATCCTACCCACTCGTGTTGGTAATTTTAATATTATCAATATATTTTAGTTTAATTATAATTAAAGTCGAGACAAGTTGAGTTTGGTTTATTACCAGAGACCGGATGTGCGTGGTTCACACTTAGAGTGTTAAATTTGAACTCAAGTATTCAGGGTCACCCAGTCACTTGGAATGATGTGGACATTGACCTTTGTTTCACTCCTCTTAAACAACTTGTAATCAATTCCACATGTACTAGTCCATATTGAAATATTTTAAGTAACTAAAACGAATTTAAGTAACGGAAATTAAAATTAAAATCACCCAACCCATCTCCCACAATGGCCTATGGTATACCGTGTTCATCTTCATGGTCAATCCTCAAACTTTACACCGCCCTTAATTTTTAAAATCGATTTGGTTTTGTAAACCTATTTTGTATATTGATTTGCTATTTTAGACATTAAATCTCTCTTTAAATCTATCACACCCTTAGCCGGTGGTGGAAACGCCGAACCGCAACGACATGGTATGTTTGATTATCCAAATCACAGAGCATAAAATGAACCACATAATTCCATGCTTCTTGTCCTTCCTTTCAACGATCTTCTATTGTTTCGATTTCCTAAGAATACATGGGTTTTCAAACGGTCAACATAATGTTGGTGAGTTCACATGTTTTATATATTTAAAAGTATTATTTGATATACGATCTTGGTTTATGAATACACAGACATTCGAAACTTTTTTTATCACTATAAGTTTCTAGGGAATATTTCTTTTTCTTATATTTAATTCGTAACTTGTCAAATTCTCCTATAATATTTGATTTGCTTATTCCATCTTTCAGAAGGGATTTGGTTTATACACTCGATTAGTTTCGAGTAGTTATATATATATATATATATATATATATATATATATATATATATATATATATATATATATTTCTCTTCCGTACTTATCTTATAACTTTTTCCTTTTATCAAAATAAGTTTGTTTTTCTTATCTTTTCATACTTTAATTATCTCTAGGCATTCTCCTCTAGGTAGTATAATTAACGGCTTAAGTTTGATGTGCTAATCTCAGATTATGCTCTTCGATTTGTAACTGGAATGCCGATGATCACAAATAAGATGTGAATAGCCATGCAAACCCGCACGATCCATCAATTAATAACAATTAATAACCTCGAAATGCCGATTATCTCTAGGCATTCTCCTCTAGGTAGTACAACCTCGAAATCTTTTATCATCTCAAATTTGACGTGCCGGTAAACCACACACGATCCATCAATTAATAACAATTTTCAAGTTATGCCATCATAACAACCTTATAGTCCCAAATTAGTGTATTGGTTAACCACACACGCTCCACTAATGACTCATAAACATTGATGTGTGTTTACATGGATTAGCATACAATTTCACATTTTTCCTAAAGTAACTAGAGTGAGATTTTAAAAAAGGTTCTATTACTTTATATTATTATACTTTTAATGAGGTTATGTCCAATCGAACCCATGACAGACATTTTATAGGTCGTTTCCTTATACCCCTGCCCCTCTTAGAGTATTGCTTCGTGAATGAGGTCTACTATAGATTCGACTGACACATGTTATACATATAGTATTAGACTTTTAATATATATGTATAATGGTGTATTTTAAGCATTTTAAAATATTGTTCACAAACTAATTATTAAATATTTTAATTAATTAAATCAATTATTGATCTAAAAAATAACCTTTAATTAACCAAGTAGTTAAATATATTAAATTATGAGGATAATTCAAAATTCAATATAATTAGGAGATCAAATTACTAAGTTAAATATTTAGATTTTATCCAATTAAAACATATTTACTTATGCTCTGATACAATTGATGGGTCTTGCATGTAATAATGCGGAAAATCATTATACTCTTAAGAAAACATGTGACCTAACAGATGTATGTCATAACACTATTAAAGCAACTTACTCTTGAGCAACAAAACTTATAAACCCTAGATGAAATCGAAATTCACATTAAATGGAGGGTTGCATACCTTTTTTGTAACGCCGAGTATTTTAGGTAAATTCCTTATTTTTTTAAGTGTTGGTTTATCTTGCATCGAGACCGCGTATGTTGGGCATAAATTAGGTACGCTGGGCATACCTTGAAGAGCCTTGGATACGGGGTTGGCCCCCAGGTACCCTGGGTATGCCAATGGAACGTTGGGCGTACATCAGCTAGGGGAAAACCCTAATTGTTAGGGTTTTCACCATATTTAAACACCTTATGTGCCCAGGATCTCTCCTTATCAATATCTATTCCCCATTTTAACCACTATCTCGAAACCCTAACCCATTTCTCAAGATATTGGCACTTCTATATATTGTGGTGTTTGTGTGTGTGTGTGTGTATTTATGTGTGTGTGTGTGGTGCATATTGAAGAAGAAGATATTGGATTAGGTGTCTAAGCCCATAACTATAATTGGTATATAATTGAAATGATAGTAGCACAATCTTTTTGGGTTGCCCTCAAGACTAGCAACTAAACATGATGTTATTTAGAGATAGAGTTTTGATTTATTGTTTGACTAATAAATTGAAATAAATATTTTGTTAATATATTATGAAAATAGTATATTAATTAGAAATAGTAATATGTAATTAATATTTAATCAGAAATTAATTAGAATTAATTTTGGGATTGAATGAACTAATTAAAAGTGCAGGTACTGAAATGTAATTGTTCAATAGTTGAGAAAGAGGCATTACAGAACCCTCTATACGGGTAAGACGGTTTCTTGAAGTCTAAGGGTTTCTACTAGAATTGTCCTAGGTGGATAAATAGGAAATCGGATAATTACCTGGTTTAAGATGATATTAGATTAGGGCTTATCTAGGGTTTTCTGATTGCACTATAAATAGGGCATAACTCTATGATTTTCGGCCACTTAATCCTTTGAAGAGCTAGCCAAAAATTTGAGCCTCCCTCCTGTCTCTCAATTGTCTTCCTTTGCTAGTGTTAGGTATGAACCATCAGAGGCATGACATTTGTGATGCTTGCTCTCAAGGCTTCATCAACACAAGGATTTGCATTGTTATTATTATATAACAATCTAAGTATGATTCTCCTAACCCTAACTTTGTATTTCAAAAATATGCTAGTATGCTAGGGTTTATTTTGTTGTTCAAGTTGTATGTTCAATTAGAGAAAACATTGATCATTTTTTAGGGTCTCATGCACACATATGATTTATATGTTTTGCATAATACCCATCAGAGGTATCAGAGACTGGTTTAGTTTTCTATTGAATTGATACAATCATTAATCTTGAATGAGAAGAAGCAAATAGAATCGTCATTTTGTTCCGCCAACACAACGTGGTGTTCTTCCACCATGGCGTGTTGACCTAAGAAATCATCTAAGCACGATGTGGTGATTGTTTATCACAATGTGTTGGACAGTCAGATCCACAAAATTTCGTTTTAAAGATATCTTATGAATTGATTAGGATAATTACATTTAATAATGTTTTAATTGTAAAAAACTGAATATTTTTTAAAGTAATTTGATATCCTTATCTTGAATTCATGATTGGTTTATTTTTAATTTGATATCCTTATCTTCCACAACAACAAGGCATCAAAAGGAGATTTAGTCCCAAAAATGGCAACCTAAGTTCAATAACCCCAAACTGATTCATAAAGCTCCAAGGGTTAAGGTCTCTGGACCTCTTTGAGTCCAGATCCAAGGCACAAACTCGAAGAGGGACCATTTGCTCCACATAATCACTCTCCAAAGGGGTTAGAAAACCCTAACTCTAATGATCAACACCAAAACTAAAGGATGTTCGAACTATTACCTCAAAATGAAGTCTCTGAACTCTGGAACTGCTAGAATCGCACCTTCCCTTTGGTCTTGTTCACCTCTTTCTTGCTAAACCAAAGGTACAAGGATCAAAAGTGACTTCTTCTTCCTCACAACGATTTGGCTCACTTAGGGTTCTCTCAAGGGATGGGTAGCCGCAATGAGAGGCTATAAGTGCCCTTAAATAGGCTCCAAACCCCGGGGTTAGGGTTTCATTAAACAGCATGGACTTGCCGAGTCCGGACGTGATTTCGGATGAACATCCGCGACCCTACTCGGCGAGTCTTGGCTCCAACTCACCGAGTTCCTCCAAAAACTCCAAAATAATTAAATAAAATAATATACCTGGAAATCCGACTGTTACACATATTCAAATAAAAG